AATTTAATAAACAAATAAAATAATAATAATTTACGGCTTCCTGTGCACTGAAAGAAAACTGTATGGAAACGTTGTACCAGTGGTATTTGACTCTTAGGAAACTAGCAAAATTGTTTAAGACAAGTACAAATACCTCTTGGAAATGTAAAGAGAAAGAAGGCACCTTTCAACATATGTGGTGGTCCTGTAAGGTAATAAAAGCATTCTTTACCAGAATTATTAGAATGGAGAACCAAATTTATTGAATTCGCGGAGATGGCAAAATTAACAGCATCAATTAGAGGCTACTCTAATCAAAAAATTATTAAAGAGTGGGAATGCGTTAAGGAATACATGAAAAAAGTTGGTGCTGGAGTTTAAAAACTAATACCGGTAAGCAAAAGTTTAAAAGGCGCAAGGAGATAGGATAATAATATATCAAGGATGGAATAACAAATAAAGTGAATAATGCAACAGTAACCAAAATAATAGTAGGTAAAGAAGATTGCACACGGGTGGAGGGCTGTGGGGGAGGGAGGTGAAGAGATTACTTGAAATTGTTAAAGATTAGTATAGTATTTAAGAGATTTAAATTTTTATAAAGATTCTATAAGGAAAGCAGAAAGTAGCAAGAAATATCAAGTAAAGGTATCGGAGAGATCAGTGTAAATGAAAACATGAGACTTATGGTTTTGTTACATATGATTTTATTTTGGAGTTGTTTGTTGTAAAGAATGTGTATTATGTGAATAAAAAGAAAGAAAGAAAAAAGAAGCAACATTCTAAATATTTGCAGTCAGTTCCTATTTGTAGCTAACAATGATGTACAAATATTAAAGAAAAGGATCTGTTCTTAGCTGTGATCCCTTCAAGATAGCCAAGGGCAGAATGGCACAAAAACAATACTTGGCAGATTCCTTCACTCAGTTACAGTTTTTCAAGGTATGAAAAATGCCAAATGGTCAATATTTGTGACATGAAGGCACACTTTCCCATGCCTCTGGTCTATTGAAAATGTCAGCTTGTCAACATTTCCATTCCCCTTAGGCAAAGATTCTGACCAACGTAGACGAAATAAGCAGATTTTCTGTTGCTAAGAAAATAAAAAATTACTGAAACACAAAATAAAATAATAATAAAAGCATTCTGTGAAATGATATAAAATGAATTGAAAAAAATGTTTATAATAACTTTTGTAAAATAATAAAAAAGCCAGAAGCATTTTTATTAGGAATTGTAGGGAACAGAAAAGGATGTTATTAGCCCAAAGATGGAAAGAAGACAAAGTCCCTACTAGAGAGGAATGGCAAATTAAGCTATCGGAGTATGTCAAAATGGCAAAACTGACTGGAAAGCTCAGGAACCAAAAAGACAAAAACTTTTAAGAATGAATGGGTAAAATTTATTTAGGAGACCACTGTAAGTAGATAAAAAAATTAGCAGAATTTTAACAACAATTTTGGTGTATCAAATACTGTGGACAAATACGGATTGTGAAACAATATGTATCTGAAGATGTTGACAGTAGGACCCACGGAGGGGGGAAGTCAGGAGATTCAGAGAAATCTCAAGATATGTTTATATATTTGGTATTGTTATAACTTTTCGTGTGTAAAATCAAAGAAAAAATATTTTAAAAAATAATAAACAAATATAAATAAATAAAAAATCCCACCGTCTCCCACATACCCTCCAACATTTATCTAGTGAAAACAGGGATGTCCTATTCAATAATAATAATAATAATAATAATAATAATTTTATTATTTATACCCCGCCCATCTGACTGGGTTGCCCTAACCGCTCTGGGCGGCTTCCAACACATATAAGTTACAGGGAACCAGGGAGAGGGCCTTCTCGGTAGTGGCACCCGCTCTGTGGAACGCCCTCCCACCAGATGTCAAAGAAATAGACAACTACCAGACTTTTAGAAGACATCTGAAGGCAGCCCTGTTTAGGGAAGCTTTTAAGGTTTAATAGAGTATTGTATTTCAATATTTTGTTGGAAGCTGCCCAGAGTGGCTAGGGAAACCCCAGATGGGCAGGGTATAAATAATAAATTATTATTTATAAAATCATAATAAAACTTTAAACATTAAAAAAAACTTCCCTATACAGGGCTGCCTTCAGATGTTTTCTAAAGGTTGCATAGTTACTTATCTCCTTGGCTCGGGAGTCGCATAACTCCATACCCTCCAACATTTCTCCAATGAAAATAGGGACATCCTAAGAAAAAGTGGGACATTCCAGGATCAAATCAGAAACTGGAACAGCTTCTGTAATCTATAAAATAGGGACACTTGCAGGATTTGCTCCCAAGGGATAGTGCTACCTACTTTGGGAACCACTGGTCTACACACTTAACTGGTAATATTAGAACACTGATGGAATTGTAGGGGAGGGAGGAAGAGAAGGTGGGAGGGAAGGGGACCTTGATAAATCTACAAGCTCTTGATTCTCCCATATTCCTGGATAGCTCAGTTGGTTGGAGTGTGGTGCTGATAATGCTAAGGTTGCAGGTTCAATCCCTGTATGGAACAGCTGTATCACAAAGGGCTGGAGGAGAGTAGATGGACCTCAGGATCCCTTCCAACTCTGCAATTCTATCATTTTGGTCAGCTCTGGTCCCCTCTCTTCTAAAAACAGCAGCTAAATATGTCATAAAAGGTGTTGTCTCTGGTCCATCTGAGTGCTGTCTTTGAATCCTCATTTAACCCATCACTGTTCTCACTGCCAACAAGCACATGCATTTATGTCTTTGTTTTTCCTTTTATTTATTTAAACTTTTCAAGTTTATACATTTCACTAATTTTATACATTTCACTGATTTTACAACAATTTTGACATTTCAAAACTCGACTTCTTACCCCCTCTTTCTGCGGTTCCTAAAATTTGTTTTTAATATCTTCTGCATATCCAAAGTAACTTAATTTACTCATTTATTCATCTTCTTTGAATATACATACTCTTATAAAACTGCAGGTTATTACAATAATCCTGCCAATGTTTTTATCTGTTTATAATTTATCAATAAACCATTTCCTCTTTTTTTGTAAAAAATAAATAAATTGTTACCTTGATTTCTTATACTTCTGGTAAGTTTCGCCATTTCTGTATATTCCATAAGTTTTTGTACCCATTCTTCCTTTGCTGCGACTTCTGCTTCTTTCTATTTTGGGGCAAGTAACATGAATAAGTTTCTACACATTTTAGGTAGTTCTGTCCCTATAACTCCCCAAAGAAAAGCTTCTGGTTTTTTAAACATCCTTTTCATTTCATTATATATCATTTAATGAAATGACATGATGCATTTATGTCTTTAAAGCAGGGGATGGGGAACATTTTTATCAGACCAAAGGGCCACAATTTCCTTCTGGGCAGTCTTCCAAAAGCCATATGCCCCTGGCAAATCCTGGCTTGCCCACACACTACTTGGTACCTCTGCCCTCCGTTGAGGCAAGTGAGAGGCATAGCCAGAGGCTGAGCACAGATTTCAGCCAAGCAAAAGCACTGAATGCGTGGCAGGGACAGTGAGGTGTGTGTGCACTAGTGCGTATGTGTACCAGGAGAAACTGGCTATGCAAGAAATGCACTTTGCATAAACTTAGGGGCACTGTCTTATTGCACTTGAAAACACTCAAAAGAGGCTCCGGGATTAAGCCCAGGGGCACAATCCAGTCAGGGCTGGGTTTAGGTTTCATGAAGCCCTAAGCTACTGAAGATAATGGGGCCCATTATATGCCCAGCTGTCCTTTGTCAACAACAAATTGTCGCTGTCTTTTGTGTAGAATATATGCTGTATGGTAATTTATGGAGCTAATAGGTATCTAAAGCCATTTGCGCATGTTACCATGCAACCAGTCCATGCAGAATGTAGGCACCCTATATATAGAAATGTGCAAACCAGTCATTGTTTTTTACCTTATATTTTGGAAATGCACATCCAAGTTTGTTTGTTTTTACTTTAATTTTTTTGGGGGGGCAAGAGAGTGGGGCCCTAAGCTTTAGCTTGTTTAGCTTATAGGTAAATCTGGCACTGTAGGTGGTGCAAACCCCTACTCTGAATAATGATTTTTTTATAGAGGAGGGTAAGGGGCACTTGGGACACGGGTAGCACTGTGGGTTAAACCACAGAGCCTAGGACTTGCCAATCAGAAGGTTGGCGGTTCGAATCCCCGCGACGGGGTGAGCTCCCGTTGTTCGGTCCCTGCTTCTGTCAACCTAGCAGTTCGAAAGCACGTAAAAGTGCAAGTAGATAAATAGGTACCGCTCCAGCGGGAAGGTAAACGCCGTTTTCATGCGCTGCTCTGGTTCGCCAGAAGCGGCTTAGTCATGCTGGCCATGACTGTACGCCAGCTCCCTCGGCCAATAAAGCGAGATGAGCACTGCAACCCCAGAGTTGGTCATGGCTGGACCTTTACCTTTACCTTTAAGGGGCACTCAGAATGGGTTCGTACAAACAACCCAGAAAAGTTTGAGAACTGCTGCTCCAGAGTTATAAAAGCCTAAAAGCCAGCTCCAACCGAAGGCCTAGCAGGTTTGGCACACTGTTCTCATCATGCCCAGATGCCTCTGTGAAGCCCACCAGCAAGCCGGGAGCCCACCATGGGCACCTCCCCACTTGTAGGGGGGTGGGGAAGAAGTTCTTTTGCATCAGAGGCATGAACGCAAAGGACAGGTGCTAACTTAGGAGAACAGAATAAAACCCTTTGCAGAATATAAATAAGATGTTCTCAACTGCTTCTCTCTCCCCCTTCCCTTTCCTTGCTTTCAGGACAAACGCAAACAATTCTTTCCATTAAAGTCATTTTCTTTTAGGGTGGGGAGAAAAGGAAAAAGGAAAAAAAGAAAAAGAAACCCAACACAGGAAAGGAACATTGGGAGGGCGGGAGGGGGAGAGTCCCTGGCGCTGCATCCGCAGCCTGTTTGAAAAGTTTACAGGCTTTGCACCAATGGCCGTCCAGGGCCTGTTTTGTTTTGTTTTTTTCCCCCGCCTTTGCCAATGAAGTCATGGGGGAAATATGGCATTCCTCTCATAAAGTAAGAGGGCGAGGAGGGGCGGGAAGAAGGGGGGCGAGAGAGAGAGAGGCAGAGGAGCGGAGTTAAAGCTACAGGAGGCCTGATCCGTGCAAGAACCGGGCTTCCTCCTGCGTCGGGGAGGAGCGAAAATTTTGCGTCCCACCGACGGCGGGGAGGTTTGGGGAAGGCGCTCGCTCCCGGGGCGGACCTTGCTCTTGCAGTCGCCCCACCACCAGCAGCACCCAAGCAGAAGGGCACCCACCCACCCAGCCAAGCACCCAGAAGTGGCTGATCGCGGCCGTCCGGGCAGCCTCCCGCGATGGACGCGGTGCAAGCGGAGAAGAGCAGCGCGTACGTTTCGCCGTCCAGCCCCGACGGGCCTCTGGATCGCGGCAGCCCCAGCCCGGTGCCGTCGTCGGGCAGCCGTAGCCCCAGTTTGCAGCCGGGACCGACGGGGGCTCCGGGAGCTCCGGGCGAGGCGGTCCGCGACAGCTCTCAAGTGAACGCCATCACGGTGCTGACTCTTTTGGACAAGCTGGTCAACATGCTGGACTCGGTGCAGGAGAAGCAGCAGAAGATGGAGCAGCGTCAGGTGGACCTGGAGGGCTCCGTCAAGGGCATCCAGAGCGACCTGAGCAAGCTGTGCAAGCAGCACACGTCCACCAGCAACACGGTGGCCAAGCTGCTGGAGAAGTCGCGCAAGGTCAGCGCCAACACGCGCGAGGTGCGAGAGCGCATGGACCGCCAGTGCGCGCAGGTGAAGCGGCTGGAGCACAACCACGCGCAACTGCTGCGCAGGAACCACTTCAAAGTGCTCATCTTCCAGGTAGGTCGGGGGTGGGGGATCTGGAGAGAAAGGGCCGGGGGTCTGGGGACAGGGGTGCCAACTCGAATAAAATATTGGCAGCACCCCCTAGGCAGTCAAACTCTTCCGGGGGGCGGGGTTGGGGGGCTTGCAAATAATCTCCTAAAACCAAGAAAGCTTGATTGCACTTTTCCTTCGGGATCAAATCAATATTATTTTGATCTGTTGTCGTGGGGCCCCTAAAAGTCCCCATAAACTGGTTCCTACTCTATTTGGCAAGCTGGCACTGGGGGGGGGGCGGGTAAGCCCCACCCCACATAATTGATTTCAAGACGTGGCACATGGACACCATTTGAATGGCAATGCCCATCAATTTGGGGGGGGGGGTTCAACACCCGCAAATACTTTATGGGGGAGACGAAGGAACCTCGGCCCTCGGAGTTGGCTCCTGTGGGTGGGGGTGAGACGAGGGGAGATTGGGGCCGCAGGGACAGGCTCGCCCCGGAGAAATGTTCGGCCAGCCGCTGTTCAGCAATTGCCAGAGACCACCGAGGCAGGGTGGTGCAATGGTTAGAGTGCCTTTCTACCCCGGGCAAAACCCAGGTACCAGTTTTCACTGGATCATCAAGTGTGCTGGGCAAGCCTAGGCCAACCACTATCCCTTAACTTAGCTGTTTTTTGGACTACAATCCTCATCATGCCTAGCTTGTGGGACCAGTGGTTGGGGGTGATGGGAATTGTAGTTAAAAAAACTACTAGAGTCCCAAGTTTGGGAAACACTTCCTTAACCTGTTTCCTAAAAGTCATATGCCTCTTGGCTGTAGAAAACCTCATAGAGGTTTACAAAAACCTAACCTAACCTGCGACGCCCTGATTTCTTTGAAGGAAATGTGGAATATTAACTAGTCATCCAAGCAGTCCTTTTCCTGCCATACAGACTGTATTCATTTATCATTGTGCTTTTCCTACTCTCTCATCCCCTCGCCATTGCTTGCACACGCCAAGATCTGGCCAAAAGAAAATATTTGCCGGTGGTCAAGTCTTGCTGGGAAACCCATTGCAGCAGGAATCCCACCAGATGTGTGCTGTGGTTACCATCAGCACATGCTCAGAGGCACAGTCCTGATGGTTGCCTCACAGGTTCCAGGTTTGAGTCTAGACAAGAAAACAGGATCCTGAGGCCATGGTAAGCCAAGGCTGAAACTCAGCCTTGCCAGTTTTCAGTGCTTAAAGATCATGCCTGCTGCATGCCATACTCACAAAACTGAAATTGGTATGAATCATCAGATCTGTGTTCCCAAATTCCACTAAGCAAACACAGGTCTTATTTATGTAGTCTGGAAAAAATGATCCGTTAGCTGCTAGCCCTGTGATTGGTGCTGCCGATGGAACACACCTCCCACTAAATCCTACCTAGTTCCTTTGCAGCAAATGATCCTCAGCTCCGATATGCAGCTAAGCCAGCAAAACAGTCCTAGAGTCTGGTCCTGTGCATGTTTACACAAAACTAAATCCCACTGGGTCTTACTCCCAAGTGAATTATGCACAGGACTGGAGCCGCAAATGCATCTTTGCTTGAGTTCAGTGATAAATTGTGTTTTAAAAGTAGATGAACCTCTCTTTCAAAAACTGGCACGGCATCTGCTATATGGTTAGTTTTAAAAACAACCAGCAACAACCACAACCACCACTTCCCCAGTTTCTATGCTTTTTCTGTCTGCGTAGTTCTGCCAGTGGTCAGCAGATATCGAAGTATCGGACTGCTCCACCCTCCAGAGAAATAAGATCAGGAGTTTGCATCGAACTTACAAACAGTTATCCATGCTGTTGTTACTTGGAAAGCAGAAGTGAAGAACCTGTGGCTCACGGATGTTCCCGGTCTCCCCCTGCTTTGCCATTGGCCATGCTGATCAGGATTGATGGATGTTGTAGCCCAACAACATTCAGAGAGCCACAGGTTCCCCACCCCTTCCTGCAAAGCAGTCGCCATTGAAAAATCCATAGTCCTGGCATGGGTTCAAGCCTCACCCTCACCTGTTTTGCAGCAAGGCTTTCTTTGTGACAGTGCTCACCTGTACAGAGCATCGCACCCTCTTCTTTTTGCTGCCCACGGGGGTCATTTTGTTCTGGTACTCCCAGCACTTTTATCAAGATATGAGTACAGGGCACCTTATTTAATTTTTTTAATATTAAAAAGAGAGAGAACACGGTATGCATGTGTATACTTATCAGCTTAAAAAACAGTCTCACCTAGCTCCTGGCTGTTAAAAAGTAGTTAATGGACTTTGCCACCCCGAGCAAATTCTTCTGGCTTCTCTACCCCACTCCGTCCCACCCCACGGGTTTATGCATTGAGCCGGCCTAAGCTTTTCCCGTCGCTCTGCAGCCGTCGGTGCCTGTTGATAAAGCCTCGTTCTTCATTGTGTGCAAAACTTGAGCTCTGGTTTCCTGGGCATCTGCCTCCAATTTGATGTTGCTAAATATATTATGCTGCAATATAGACAATCCAGTAAGGTTTTGATTTGTGGGCCTGCAAAGTATATCAAGTGCTCTCCTCCCAAGATCTGTCTTTCTCCCTGTGCTAAAGCATCTTCCTCTTCAACAGCACTTACCATATTTTTTGTTCTATAAGACTCACTTTTTCCCTCCTAAAAAGTAAGGGGAAATGTGTGTGCGTCTTATGCAGCGAATGCAGGCTGCGCAGCTATCCCAGAAGCCAGAACAGCAAGAGGGATTGCTGCTTTCACTGTGCAGCGATCCCTCTTGCTGTTCTGGCTTCTGAGATTCAGAATATTTTTTTTCTTGTTTTCCTCCTCCAAAAACTAGGTGCGTCTTGTGGTCTGGTGCATCTTATAAGGCAAAAAATACGGTACTTTTTGTTGTTGTTGTAGAACACGAATGGGACATCTCAGGCCTCTGGTCCAAATGTGGAAGCCCTCTTAAGCTTCTCTGTCTGTCTCCCAGGCTCCAAAACCCCCTGGAATGTTTTTGCCTGGGTGGAATGTCTTTGAACTGTGATAATCACAGAATCATAGAATTAAAGGGAGCGCTGAGGGTCATCTAGTCCAAGCCCATGCAATGCAGGAATCTCAACACATATTCTCCCATCCAGTTGGAAACCAGGCCAGACCCTGCTTAGCTTTGCAAATGTGCTAGCTAGTTTCATTGCTACACCACTAGCATGATGCCTCTCGCTTGCCTGGACAGGGGATAGAGAGATCCAGTGGGCAGGTGTAGAAACTTATCTACACTACAAAAGTGAAATTTCCTTTCATTGCTCTGCCCACTTTCCCCTCTGGCCACGCCCAGTTCTGGCATATGTTGCCCACCCTCCAATGCCACTCTCAGGCTGAAAAATGTCTCCCACCCCCGCTGTAGCCTGCTCCTGTGGAGCTAGCTTGGACAGAGGAACGTTTTTGCCTGGTGCCTAAAAGTGTATAATGAAGGCACCAGGAGAACCTCCCTGGGGAGAGCATTCCACAGATAGGGAGCCACTGCAGAGAAGGCCCCGTTCTCACGTTGCCACCCTCCGTACCTCTGTACCTCTCAGGGAGGAGGCACACGAAGGAGGGCCTCAGAAGATGATCTCAGGGTCTATATGCTGCCTGACCTCCAGGAACGCAAGGTAGCATGTGTGTGTGCGCATGCATATTTTCCATTCTGTTTACCCTCACCACAACAACCCTGTAAAGTAGGCTAGGCAAAGATGTAAGGGTGCTTCAGCGAGTGTGCAGCTTGTGCACGCAAACAGTAGAGCTGTGCACTTGTGCAATTATTCACACGTAGCGTTCAAAGGGTGCACAGCGTGCTTGAGAGAAGTAATGCAACGGGTGCGCACTCTTGTCCTTGTGTTCAGTGTGACATGTGAACCAGGTTGCTCAGTGAGATTCAGATGTTGCTGAACTACAACTCCCATCATCCAAGGCCAGTGTCCATGCTGTTTTAGGGCTGGTGGGAGTTGTAGTTCAACAACATCTGGAGGGCCAAAGCTTCCTCATGCCCTAATTGCTACATTAAAGGTAAAGGACCCCTGACAGTTAAGTCCAGTCGTGAACGACTCTGGGGTTGCGGTGCTCATCTCGCTTTACTGGCCGAGGGAGCTGGCGTTTGCCCGCAGATAGTTTTTCCAGGTGATGTGGCCATGACTAAGCCGCTTCTGGCGAAACCAGAGCAGTGCACGGAAACACCGTTTACCTTCCCACCGGAGCAGTACCTATTTATCTACTTGCACTTTGACGTGCTTTCGAACTGCTAGGTTAGCAGGAGTTGGGACAGAGCAATGGGAGCTCACCCTGTCGTGGGGATTCGAACCGCCGACCATCTGATCGGCAAGCCCAGGAGGCTCAGTGGTTTAGACCACAGCGCCACCCGCTTCCCAATTGCCACATTACACCGGCACATTTTGGCTCTTCACCACCCTAGCACACCCCTGGTGTAGAGAGGAGAAGCCACACAATTTTTTCCAGTGCTGCTGAGAGGTTTCTGTGGTGTAGGAAGGAGCACACATCTGTGACTCCCACACAGGCGAGCAGATAGACAAAGCTAGTCTTTCGTACATAAATGTACAGCAGCGTCAGCTGCCTGTCTTGTCAGAGATAATAACGTATGGGGTGTTTCTTTTCTAAAATCAGCAGGAGATGCTCAAAGTCCAGAGTAAAAAAAAACATGTCAACCCCACCCAAATTGCAGATTAGTGTTTTCCTAGGCAGGAAATGTGACAAAAAACCTGTTTTGAAAATTGCAAAGAGCTTAAAGCAAGTAATGAATTATGTAACGAGTTAACAAGCTATTAAAGGGGTGGGGGGAAGAAGTCCATTTTTAGAGAGATCTATGCACGATGTCGAGAATAAATTACGGGAACGAATACTGAGCCATGCTTCAGAGCTGTGTAAGTGAGTTTGCTCCAGCTAACTCAATGGGCTGTGTTGGACCCTCGTGGAAGCAGGCGACTTTCTCGCTTTCTTTTTTCCACCACCCAGAAAGAACACCCCAGGCACGCTGCCAGAGAGATTGCAATGAGAAACCTGCTCCCCGTGCCTCAGAGAAATATGCCCAGGAATCTTGACATTTTCTTATCAGCAAGAAAATACCACAGGAAGGTTGCAGCCCTGTGGAAAATGTTGAGGGAGTTTCTCCCACCGAGCCCGGTGGGACATATTTCCCAGCAAATATGCAAAAGTTTGGGCTGTTAGTTGACCGTATTTAGGATTACATCCAGTACTGCATTTTTAAGACACGGGGAGAACTTCTACATGCCACTCCCATGTCCAGAGTTCAAGGCAGCCATCTCGCCTAAATAAGTAACTGCTTTCGAGACAGGTTGGTGAACTGCAAATCCCAGAAACAGCTCAGCCATTTTCAGGCCTTTGTCTTTGAAGGAGTCGAGGAGGACGGTGTGATTTCTGCAGTCACGACAATTGCCTCAACCTTTTTTAGTGCGATTTAAGAGACAGCCATCGTCTCAAGGTCCCCTCGGCAGAGACAGCAGTGATTCCCTTAAACATTACATTGTGGACTGAGATTTTCTTTCGGCAAGTGACATTTGTACCTTGGTGTTTTGTAACACTTGGCCAGCGTGTCTGTTTCTGCTCGTTTAGCGATAGTCTCGTGCTGTTGATTCTGGAATGCTGAAGAAGTCTGTGAATTTCTCTTGAAATGGCTTCAAGTTACAAGAAAGGAGGGCGGGCCCAGAAATCTTGCTCAGTTAGGTTCTTCCTTTGTGTGGAAGATCTCTACATCGGTATACCTGTAGAACTACCATATTTTTTGCTCTATAGGACGCACTTTTCCCCCTCCAAAAATTAAGGGGAAATGTGTGTGCGTCCTGTGGAGCAAATGCAGGCTCCTTGGCTTCAGCGATAGCAACGCGAAGCCTCTGAAGCGCAGAGGGAGCGCTCCCTCCGCACTCAGGAGGCTTCGCGTTGCTTTCACTGAAGCCTGGAGAGCGAGACGGGTTGGTGCGCACCGACCCCTCTTGCTCTCCAGGCTTCAGGGATAGCTGCCTGAAGCCTTCGGAGTGCAGCGTGAGTTCCCGCTGCGCTCCACAAGCTTCGGGTTCCTTTTGCTGAAGCCAGGAGAGCAAGACTCCTGGCTTCAGCAGAGAGGGAGAGCTGCACAGCGCCCCTTCAGCCAAGCAGGAGGAGAAAGGAAGGGGCTCCGTTTCTCCTGCCGCTTCGCTGAAGGGGTGCTGAGCAGAGAGGGGGAGAATTTTTTTTCTTTGTTCTTCCCCTCTAAAACAAGGTGCATCCTATGGTCCGGTGCATCCTATAGAGCGAAAAATACGGTAGTTTTCCACTGCAGCCAAAGGTGCAGATGACTGGGAATGATTTCCATAGGGCCATGGCACACATTTTCCCAGGAGCAGGGCTAGCCCACATGGACCCCTTTTCAACCCATCTTTCAACATGGCAGGCGTCATATGAACCCTCCCTTTGGAGGTGACCATACCAGAAACGATGGAGAGATGCTATGATCATAACCTTTATTAAGTACTTGAAACACTACCCATATATAGTGGTACCTTGGTTCTCAAACTTAATCAGTTCCTGAAGTCCGTTCCAAAACCAAAGTGTTCCAAAACCAAGGCACGATTTCCCATAGAAACTAATGCAAAATGGATTGATCCGTTCCAGACTTTTAAAAGCAACCCCTAAAACAGCAATTTAACATGAATTTTACTGTCTAACGAGACCATTGATCCATAAAATGAAAGCAATAAACAATGTACTGCAGCCACACACACAAGCAATCAATCAATCAGTAGCTGAACTGGGTTCCACACAGTCACAAAAACCAAACAAAAAGAGCCGCAAAAACAAAAATGCAAAACAAATAGCAAAAAAAAGGCAGACCTCAGTGTAACACTCAAAACGGAAGTGTGGCACTCAAATCGGAAACATAACACATAAAACGGAGCACGTTCGGCTTCTGAAAAACGTTCACCAACCGGAACACTTACTTCCAGGTTTGCAGTGTTTGGGTTCCAAGTTGTTTGAGTGCCAAGGCGTTTGAGAACCAAGGTACCACTGTATCATCTCTGTGATCCTTACAACAACCCCATAAAGTCAGTGTTATCATCTCCATTTTACAGACCGGGAATGGGGGTAGATGCTGCTCAGGTAGAGAGAAAATGCCTTTCCTTAAGCTTATGAAAGAGCCGAGATTTGATTCTTATGGGGTTTGTATTTGTTTGTTTCTCTCTCTCTCTCTCTCTCTAAAAAAGTATCCTGTAGTAGTTAGTGAGAGTGAAAACACAGCTTCATGTTCCAGGTAGTGTAATAAAAAAATGAATTAAGCAAGGTTTTCAAATTCAGTTTGTTTTCCCACGTATATCAATATTTTATCAGGAATCTATTATAAGATTTGCTCTCTCCTCCTGCCTCCCTGCCAGAACTGCAGACAGGCAGGCTACCAATCAGCCCAAAGCTATCAAAAGGATGAGCATTGAAAGAAATGTTTGTATTGTGTGCGTCTTCCCCCTGCTTAGCGGATGGTGTCCCATTTTCTACATCATTGCTCACACACAAACCCCATTCATCTCCGCTTTTGCTAGAATGCAATCACATGGGGTACGTATGTTGCAGATTAGAATAGTGGCAGAAACAAGTATCTTTGCAGGCTTCTGCAATCGCAGTTTGTTGAGAATATATGCATATACCAAAATAGTTTGCTCAGAGCATGGCAAACCAGCACCTCCATTGAGTGACCCATGTTTGCTTGCTTGCATGTGGGATTTGCGGAAGTGAAAATATGTCAGGGGGTACATTGATGCTGGGTGTTTAGGCGTCTGGGGGGGGTTGCATATGGGCTATTCTTGCAAATTCTTGAAAGTGTTGTGTACACAGAGACTATCTTGACTTACTGGTTACATTTTTATCTCATTCTTCCCACGGTGAGTTTAGGACAGTTGCCATGGTGCATTTGATTACCGCTCCAATATATCCAATACAGTGGTATCTCAGGTTACATACGCTTCATGTTACATACGCTTCAGGTTACAGACTCCACTAACCCAGAAATAGTGCTTCAGGTTAAGAACTTTGCTTCAGGATGAGAACAGAAATCGTGCTCTGGTGGCGCAGCGGCGGCAGGAGGCCCCATTAGCTAAAGTGGTGCTTCAGGTTAAGAACAGTTTCAGGTTAAGAACGGACCTCCGGAACGAATTAAGTACTTAACCCGAGGTACCACTGTATATAACAGTTGTGGAAGGCAGGATCAGCCAGAAATGCAGAACCTGTGGTTCTGCAGATATTGGACTCCAACTCCCATCCTCCCTAATCATTGGCCATGCTGGCAGGGGCTGATGGGAGTTGAAGTCCAGCCCGGAGCTACGTGTCGGTAGAGCATGAGATTCTTCATCCCAGGGTTGTGTGTTCAAGTCACATGTTGTGCAAAAGATGCCTGCATTGCGAGGGGTTGAGCTAGATGATCCCTGTGGTTCCTTTCAACTCTATGGTTCTATGATGCGGGAAATCCAGAGCTTGTGCATCCGCATCTCTTTACCCACTCCTCTGCTCTGATTCCATGTACCGTATTTTTCACTCTATAGGACGCACCAGACCATAAGATGCACCTAGTTTTGGGGGGAGGAAAGTAAGAAGAAAAATTTGAATCCCAGAAGCCAGAACAGCAAGAGGGATCTGGCTTCTGGGATACCCTGTGGCTGTTCTGGCTTCTGGGATAACCATGCCAAACCTCTTCAGGGCAGCGGGATGAAGGCTCCCCCTGCCCAGAAGAGGCTAAGGCAGAAGCCAGGACAAGCGCCTCGCTGAAGGGGCACTGCACCTTCTCTTTCTCTGCGCAGCACCTCTCCTTCACAGGAGAGGCACTGCACAGAGAGGGAGAACTGCGCAGCGCCCCTTCAAGCGAAGCTGGAGAAGGAACAGAAGGAGACCCTTCTGTTCCTCCTCCGGCTTCCAGGACAGGCGCCTCGCTGAAGCTTTCCGCTGCTCCCCGCAGCTTGTGGGGCTGGTGGTGGGGAAAGCCGAGCTTCCCTCACTGCCAGCCCCGGGGACCATACATTCGCTCCATAAGACACACAGACATTTCCCCTTAGATTTTAAGAGGGGGAAAGTGTGTCTTATGGAGCGAAAAATACGGTAGATTGGCTCCTCTTGCCGTGTTGCCCATGAGAAGCAAGCACAATTTGCCAGGCAACTAAGCAGCAAAGCATTTGTGAAATGGAAAAGGGTTGGTTCTTTATGTCTTTCAGGAAGTTGGTGCGTCACGTGTTTAATGTGTCACGTGCAAGTCAGGCTAGTAACTACCAGACTTATTTGCAAGGCTGTATATTTTTGTTCTCTTCACACTAGTTGTCATCTAGTCTTCAAGCACAAGCACTAAATCACTGGGAGGACTTTCAGCAGCTACGCCCCCAGGCAACTCTGCACCCTTCTTCTGCTAGAAAAAAAAATCTGCTAAAAATCCTTGCATAATGCAGTCTGGCCATTTGCTGGTTAAAAGTTGGACTTGTGTTCAAGTATCAACACTGTTAACTCTGGATAGAACGCCAGTCGTAAACTTTTGAGGACCAATCCAATCCGTTCAGAAGTGGAGCTCAAGGGGCAAGGAAGTTGAAGGGCAGAATTGCTTGTAAAACCAAACTTTTTCTTTTTCTTTTCCTTTTTTTTTTTTTTTAATAGACTCAGCAGTGTGCATTCCATCCCCTTTTTTAGCAGTGGTCTGGATTGCACAAAATCTAAATTTGAATCAGCTATACAAGACATTCCACTCAGTTCTTTTAAAAAATGGGGGATGCGGACAACCATGCGGCTTTGAGAAGGGAAACAAAGCTGTTTGGTTTTGCCAAGTTTAATATAGGGGTATGTGTGCAACGATGTTTTCGTGTTAACTATCTCTTGCACCGTTAGATGACAATACTTTAAATAAATCAAGCAGGCCTGGTGGAAAACATTTGGCACAGGTTGCTCGCTAGCTTGCTAACCTCCTGTCCTTTTCCTCAGGGAGGAAAAGACTCCACCTTGCTGCTCATTGTTCTGCTCGCTGTGCAGTTCTCAGTATTATAAAACCAGAGGAGGAAAAGGATCCTGGCACGCTAGCAGCTTCTGTCTTCCAGTTTTTAATGCTTTGCCCCGAGAGCAAACTTTGAAGTGTTCCATCTCGCTGCCATATCAAAGGCTCTGCATAGACTTTAAAAAAAACAACACCACCAAAGATAGACCTTGTTGGACTACAACTCCCATCATCCTTGGCCCTGCTGGCTAGGGAGGATGGGAGTTGTAGTCCAACAACTTTTGAGGACCCAAGGTTGAGAAAGGATGCCCTAGACCAGCGTTTCCCAAACTTGGGTCTCCTGCTGTTTTTGGACTACAATTCCCATCATCCCTGACCATTGGCCCTGCTAGCGAGCGATGATGGGAGTTGTAGGTTTTAGGTTTAAAAGGTCACGAGAGAAGCTGAAGAAGTGCAAAAGAAGGAAGATAGCATTGGTGTTATAAGAGTTGGCAAGGTGCTGTGCTGCCAAGATAACAGGATTCTCAAGAAGAAAGATACAGGAATATAATATGGTTGGTTGCTGTTTTTTTAATTGCTCAGGCTTTTCCTATCTGTGTTTTCTAGAAACCCATTTAATGGCAATTCTCAGAGTTCCTTACTGGTCTCAAAAGAATCCAGGCAATAGAGATCAATTTTGCTCAGCGGCATGCAGTCAGTGGACATGGGGAGCTAGGCTAGTCCCTGAAATGTTCCCATTAAATTAGAATATTACAATATTAAAGTCTGGTGCCTCCTTCCCAAAGCCCGGGAAGCTTCTGCCCAGCTCAGGGAAGGGAGCACGATGCTCATACACATGACATTGTCTCTCCCCCACCTCCCTTTGCCTTCACAAGCTGGTGCCTCTGATCCTAACTGTTCCCCTATGAAAGATTTCACTGCACACCACTGGTTTTGGTGGGGAAAAGGGAGCGCCTTGATTCAAGGGGGATTTTTTGTTTTGTTTGGGGTTGTCGCCCCCCCCCCCCCCCCATTCCTAAGATCTTCCTGGCCATGTGGTGAGGAGAACTTTGGACCGGATCAGAAACCCAGGAACAAAATTATCGGCATCACGAAGAGGCTACGGTCAGACCATGGGAAGTCATCGTGTCCTCTGAGCTCCTCTCAAATTACGAATCGTAGACCAGCATTTCCCAACCTTGGTCCTCCAGCTGTTTTTGGACTACAACTCCCATAATCCTCAGCTAGCAAGACCAGTGGTCAGGGATGATGGGAATTGTAGTTCGAAAACAGCTGGAGGCCCAAGGTTGGGAAACCCTGTCGTAGACCTGCAACTGCAGATCTAGGGACTAGGACATGGGTAGGCAAACTAAGGCCAGGGGGTCAGATCCGGCCCAATCGCCTTCTCAATCCGGCCCATGGACGGTCCAGGAATCAGCGTGTTTTTACATGAGTAGAATGTGTGCTTTTATTTAAAATGCATCTCTGGGTTATTTGTGGGGCACAGGAATTCGTTCATTTCCCCCCCCCCAAAAAATATAGTCTGCCCCCCCCCCAAGGTCTGAAGGACAGTGGACCGGCACCCTGCTGAAAAAGTTTGCTGACCCCTGGAGAAGTCCCAGGCAAAGTTTTCCGCACTGGGAAAAGGTTTTCCCTTAGGCCTGTTTTTACACAAAACAAACATGTGGGGACGGCCATATTGCCTCCAGGGCTGAATGTCTCAACCACTCCCATCTTCTTGGCAGCAACCCAGACCCTGGGTACCTCTGTAGCTCCTGAGGCAGAGGATTTAAGAATCTTTGGAATGCATCGCTTACCACCACGTTCAGGCCTATTTTTATAGCTGATGCTGAATCACGGATCACAAGGATATCCAAGCAGGGAGTCCCATGTGCCCTGTGGCTGTGCTCAAAAAGCTTTCCACCCTTGTGCCCCTCTGCTTGCATTTTCGCCATACTGGGATAGCCGTGCAATGCGAACATGTGTACACAGAAAGAGGCTGGCCCATAGATAAAGCTTTCCTCGTTCACTTCAGCCCCAAAGCACTCGCAAAATTATGAGATATTCAGCCCTGCAGGCTGCACAACTTTCTCTGCCAAGACTGTCCATATCTAGGGAACAACTTTGCCACACCCTAGAATGGATCATAAAACACAGCCGCCATGTTCAGGTCTCTCTTTTTCTTTCTCCCCTCTCCTTTCATCCACTCTAGGACTTTCCAGGCAAAAGCCTTCACAGAGATCTCTCTTATAAGACCTTGATGAAGAAAAGACCTATTAATTATTATTCTTTTGTCCACTCCCTAGTTTAAAAAAGGAGGCGAGCGGAAAGTATTGTACACACAGGATGAAAAGCTTTTTTAAAAAAAAAAAATCCCGTTGTTAATGTGTGCAGTTTTATTCGCTAGTGAACAGCGAGCTTTTAAAAATCTCCCGGAAACGAGCGAAAATCTCCCAAAACAATCTTGACCTCTGGTTTCTTGTAGAAAGTTACAGTAAGAACCTGTAGAGTTTGAGGTTTCTGCATTAGCTTTCAGATTACCAAAAAACAACAATAGCCCCCAGACAGATTAAATCCATGGCTTTCTTTTAGCCGGAACTTGCTGGAACTCAGTATCTGGGCCCCATTGCCATTCTAAGAGAACGGGTGAGGTGTTCGTGGTGAGTTCTGGCACCTCTTTTGCTAGAAAAGGAGTGCTGGTTAAATCTGATACTTCGTGTTCCTCAGAAAGACCATTCCTACCCCTTACCCAAGATGCATGTGAAAATAAATGCATGTGGTTTAGGTTTGTGAGCAGGTCACTTTCCAGTTTCTGGGAATCACCATTGGGGAGCAGAAGGGCCGTTGCCCTCAGATCCCGCTTGCAAACCATAGCTGTCAATGTTCCCTTTTTTAAGGGAAATTCCCTTATTCCAAATAGGATTCCTTGCAAGAAAAGGGAAAAGTTGACAGCTATGTTGCAAACTTCCCGCAGGCATCTGGTTGGCCACTGTGAGAACAGGATGCTGGACTGGATTGGACCCTTTCCTGATCCAGCAGAGCTCTTGATACATTGTTTTTTCTTTATTAAAAGAAAAACTTTTGTACCTTTGCATGCCTCTTGTTTTCCTCTCATTTAGATATACTGTCCCGTTCCAAGCTTGGCTTCTCTTTCTTCCTAATGTGGCTGCAGGAGTTGTTACAAATTGCAAACGGCACAGAATACCTAACAAAACACAGAAATGACTGTTTGCAAAGCCTTATTAAGCTTTGGCATTGTTCCTTTCTGCTTTGTTGGAACCACATGACCTGCATGATTCCCCACCCCCGCCCCGCTTTGGTTCAGAATAAACGTCATTCAGCCAATCATGCACCACAGCAAATGAGCAAGCTCGTGTTGCCACCGAAAACGGAGAAATTCAGGTCTTTTTTATTTTAAAAAAAGAAAGCAAAACACAGTAACAACAATGTGCAGTTTAATAGCATGTGGGGACCAGAAAAATCCCATTAAATGAGAGCTTAGGGGTCACTGAATTTGGTATTCAGTGCCACTCGAGTTAGTAAATATTTGATCTTAAAATGGAAGGAGCCAGAAGAGGAGAAAAACACCAAGAAATGTCATTGTTCGGTTGCCTTTTGTGCTGTTTGAATACCAAGAGACTCCCAGCTCAGAAACCTGCCAGCTCAAAAATCAAGAGGAAATGGGGCCAGGAGGCCAAAGACGCAGAAAATTTTAATGGTGTCTTAAAGAAACTGATGAAGCAGCTTATGAGACCATTAGAGTTTATGCCACAGTAAACCAATTCAGACATGCTATCACAGTCCTGTCACAGATCTCTGCCGCCTTGCAATGATGAGCTCACCTTCTCACTGAAACATTCGGCTTTTCCACGTCCAGGGCTCCCATTTGCACATCACAGTCAGCCATAAACCAATAGCGTACTGTGCATGGGTTGATCACTCCCGCTTTGCGCTTCTTCCTCCTAGCCCTGGAGAGAGAAGCAAGCCACAGTCCCGGGTTTAGCATTAGTTCCAAACCAAGGATCGTGGTTTATTTCATTTCCCAGAAACCACAATCTGTAGCCACTGATTGTTCTTGAATGTGGTTTGTTTGGAGGGATCACGGTTTGTTTACTCTGCATAGCAATAGAGAGGAACAGGAGTGCCCAGCTAGGTGGTCACAGTCAACCACTAACCATGGTTTACAGTGACATGCAAATTTTTTAAGTGGAAGAGGTGGAACAGTTGCCTCTTAAGTGCTTATGAGGCAGTACAGTGGTACCTTGTTTCTCAAACTTAATCCGTTCCGGAAGTCCGTTCCAAAACCAAAGCGTTCCAAAACCAAGGCACGCTTTCCCATAGAAAGTCATGCAAAATGGATTAATCCATTCCAGACTTTTAAAAACAACCCCTAAAACAGCTATTCAACATGGATTTTACTATTAGTCCATTGATCCATAAAATGAAAGCAACAATCAGTGTACTGTACTATGAAATAAATAAGACAGTATTGTAGATGATAAAAATTATTATTTTTTCTTAACTGCACTGATGGTAGTCATTGTTTAGATGGGGGGCTTTTATCCATTTCTGCAGTCACACAATCAATCAATCAATCAATCAATCAGTAGCTGAACTGGGTTCCACACAGTCACAAAAACAAAATTAGCCAAAAAAGCCACAAAAACAAAAACACAAAATAAATAGCAAAAACAAAAGCGCCAAACTTAATCCGTTCCGGAAGTCCGTTTGACTTCCAAAATGTTTGAAAACCAAGGCGCAGCTTCTGATTGGTGTAGGCGCCTCAGAAACAAATAGCCGACAGCTGGATTGGATGTTTGGCTTCCAAAAAACGTTTGAAAACCAGAACACTTACTTCTGGGTTTCCGGTGCTTGGGAACCAAGGCGTTTGAGTCCCAAGGCGTTTGAGAACCAAGGTACCACTGTATTATCACGTGAGATGACTGTGCCAAGTGCTCATTTCACATAATGAGCTTTTATCTTTTACAGCTTATTGCTGACTAATTTTTAGCATACTTCTGAATACCAGACAATAGGGAACCTTGTGTCCCTGCAGATGCTGCCAGGCTGCAGCTCCCATCAAACCTGCCTATTGGCCATGTTGGCTGGAACTGGTGGGCGTTGGAATATAACTCCCTTTTGGAGGGACACAGGATTGCATCCCCTGCCTGCAAGCTATCGGGATGTTAATGGTGGGCCCCTTTTATTCAGTACGTAGCATTAGTAAATGAAGAAAGAGACTAATTACCAATGAGCCGACATCGCTTTGCAACAAGATTAAGCCATTCTGTGTTGTCGAGACGATTTGACCACACTGTGCGAAATTTTATTTATTTGGAAAAACTCTCTTGTTAGATGTCAAAGGCTCCTTGGTCCCCTGCCAAGCATAAGTCAGAGAGAGTTTTGCCCATGTAAGGAGAGAGAATTTGTGATTCAGAAACAAATTGGAGTTAGCCATAACCCATACTAAGGCATCTAGGCAATGTGCCAACAGAAGAAACTGTTTCGTTGCCTTGATTTCACAGGTTCCCACGAAGGACAATAAGCTGCAGCCTTTCAGCTTGCTAGGTATCCAAAATGCTCCTCCCAAAAAAAGGTTTATTTGGATACCCATCAAGAATCATGCCCAGATGAGGAACGAACCTGAAAAGAATGACGCAAAATGCTTTCTTAGGAGTTGAATCAGTGCAACTTCTGAGGCCGATTTTAACAATACCCTTCAGTGTTTAGGTATACATACCTGGGTACAATCTCGCTTTGGGTGTCTCAGCCTCAGCTTTCCCCTTTAAAGTGCATGCTAGTAATGGATCCAACCCCTGCTTGTCTGCATTCTCTACAAGGAATGACAGGGTGTTGCTTCTGAATGAGTCATACTCAAATGAGACGGCTTGAAATCAATGGGCTTCTAGTAATCAACTCCACTTATTTCAATGGGTTTATTCTGAGTATGGCTTAGCACAGGGGTCAGCAAACTTTTTCAGGAGGGGGCCGGTCCACTGTCTCTCAGACCTTGTGGGGGGGCCTGACTATATTTTGAAAAAAACATATGAACGAATTCCTATGCCCCACAATTAACCCAGAGATGCATTTTAAATAAAAGCACACCTCCTACTCATGTAAAAACACCAGGCAGGCCCCACAAATAACCCAGAGATGCATTTTAAATAAAAGGACACACTCATGTAAAAACACACTGATTCCCGGACCTTCCGCGGGCCGGATTGAGAAGCTGATTGGGCTGGATCCGGCCCCCGGGCCTTAGTTTGCCTACCCATATATGCCAGGCAGGAGGAATGACTGCTGGGAAGAGGGAGAAGAAACACCATGGTGCACCTGTAGCAGCAAAAGCAGTCGCCTTCGTAGCTGCAATAAAATATCTCTCCCTCATCATTCTTGCCAGCCACAGCAGGCGCTGAAACTCTCCAAAATTACCCCAAATGGCTCACTGATGGATGCCAATAACAATATGTATACATGAATTGTTGGCATTTTGTCCTCGGGTATCTGCACCGTAGACAGTGAACTGTCTCATTAGAAATGGAGCCAAGTCAAGCTTGGGAAGCAAGTGGTCTTTCAGATATTTGAGGCCTGAGTCTGTTTTCCGTGTTGCATTGTTGTGGCCTGGACTAAGTCCTTAGGGCAAAGAACCAGCAAGTTGTTGCAAGAGGTTGTCGTATGTTGCCCCACCTTTCTTAAATTCTAGGTTCCAGTTTGACTATAGTGGCAGGGCTGATGAAATGCAAATTCAAATCACTCCGCAGCTAAACTGCTCTAAAGTTCATTGTCCATATATTTTCAGTTGGGGATGGGCAGATCAGGACGCACGGGCCATTTGCTAAATTATCCACAGTAGGCTTGCAAGGGTTTGTGACTCCAATTTGTTTAATAAGAGCAACAACTAAAAGACTCCACCGCCCCTAAATTAGATGGTTGGAACCCATGATCTGCAAGTGCCTTAAGTATGTATGCATTTACGTTTATATGCGGGTGGCGTTGTGGGTTAAACCACAGAGCCAAGGACTTGCCGATCAGAAGGTCGGCGGTTCTAATCCCCGCGATGGGATGAGCTCCCGTTGCTCGGTCCCTGCTCCTGCCAACCTAGCAGTTCGAAAGCATGTCAAAGTGCAAGTAGATAAATAGCTCCGGCGGGAAGGTAAACGGCATTTCCGTGTGCTGCTCTGGTTCGCCAGAAGCAGCTTAGTCATGCTGGCCACACGACCCGGAAGCTGTACGCCGGCTCCCTCGGCCAATAAAGCGAGATGAGTGCCACAACCCGAGTCGGCCACGACTGGACCTCATGGTCAGGGGTCCCTTTACCTATTTTACCATTCTGTTGTATGGCTCACTGGGTCTAAAGTAACCTAAAACCACTTTTTGTATTATTTTCTCTACTAAAAGCACAATGAGCACAACAACCTTGTTTCCCAAGATGTCATTTAATGAAACAGATGATGGAAAACTCCCGGGCTCTGTAGAACATGATGGATCTCTCTATTTCAGAACACAATGGCTCCCTTGAACATTGTGAAACAAACACCAGAACCTTAACAGTGTATCTTTTAAAAAATTTGAAAGGTTGATCTGGTGTTTTCCGTGAGGGTAGCAGGGTTTTTTTGGGGTTTTTTAAGCGATTACTCGAGTGCAAAATGGCATCTGCACATGGTATTCAGAATCTCAACCCTGAGGCAACTTTGCCAATAACCTTTCGTCCGGGAAACCATTCTGAAGAAGGGCTTGTGCTTTCTTTTCACCAACAGCTGACGGGTTCAAAAGCTACATTATATCTGCCACGTTTTGCAATCTGCTTCTTGCTGGGAGCAGAGTTGAAACAATTGCAGCATTTCAGCTGCGCCGCCACCCTTCTCTGTGTGGAGGCAAATTTATCTCGTGAACATCTCGTTCAAAATGATAAACTAAGTATATAACCCTGACACAGGCAAACAGAAAAATGCAGATATTGCAAATGGCAACAGATTTTTTATTTTTTTTGCAGTGGGGAGAGAACTTCAGAAATGTCAAAGCTGCTAGATTTTTCTAAGCCCCAACCATGTGCCAATTTGCTGCCCAGTTCACTTCAAGCTTCTGGGACATACCCTACGGAGCTGTGATGTTTTCATAAGCGCACATTTCTGAAGGAAGGCCTTTGCTTGGTCCTCCATAACCTCTTCTTTGTTTGGAGGAGATTCCTTCTGAAATATTTGCTTTTCCTGAAGTTTCTTGGCTGTGAATGTTACCCACCGCATTCCGTTCCAGAGGCTGTGAAGAATGGCTGCTATTATGACTTCTAACTGTAGGGTTTTATTTCCTTTCGGATTGGTATCGCTTTCTATCTACAGCTTCGTTCAGTAGTGGCCGTTGACCGTTGGGACTTGAAAGGCAGGAAGCAGAGAGGGAGAAAAACAGTATGCAGCGTCAGAACCAAGTCAGAGAAGACTTACCCCAGTTTTCTCCCTATTCTCCTCCCTGCTAAGTTCTACCAGGGCTAACTGTTGACCAACACTAAAACGACTCTAGCTTAGTATTCTCCTTTATGTGATGCTTTTCTGCAAGCAGGGAGGTGGGGATGTGTTTGTGTGTATTCAGTTTGTGAGTCCACTCTTGGGACACCTGAGTGTATCATTTGTCTCTTAGCCAATATCTGCTATCACGATATGGTCTTCAAACCGGTTTTGGACGAAATATGGATATATCTCCCAGCCCTACTAGATCATAGTACTTAGCTTTGTCTTGTGTCTGGAAACAATAAGCACTTTGTTACTTTGAACTGTGCAAGAGAGGAGTTTCCCCCTAGAATAAGTTGTCTGACGGGAGAAGGAAATTTCTGAAGAGTCTGCTGGGGTCTGCTGGGTGATATATCACAGAGGTTGAGGTGTGGCAAACAACCAGCTGATTTCTACAAGTCACCCACACTCCTGACCGCTGACTGTGAGCCAGTTGTGGGGGGCACAGGGGAGGAAGAAGGGAGAGCCCTGTGCACAAACAGAAGTCTTTCCACAGGGCTTCTGCTGATGGGACACCTGAGTTGAATCCCGGTCTAGGCTTCTGAGTCAGGGGCTGTATATCCCATAGTTATTTATTTCTATTTTATTTACTTATTAGATTTCTAGACTGCCCTTCACCCAAGGATCACAGGGCAGTTTGCAATATAAAAACACAAAAATACATAGCATAGTAACCCATGAGAAAAATAACACACACACACACACACAGAGAGAGAGAGAGAGAGAGAGTTTAAAAGGCCATAGTACAGTATTTATTTCTATATCCATGGTGTTCATCATTATCGACACTAAAATAGACATGGTATGGTAACAGCAGTAGAAAAATCAGTGCAGCCTTTCATTTATACTTTTAGTTATTCCCTGTAGGCGGACCAATTATTATGAAATTTATGAAAGGACCAGATTGTCGCTTGACACCCCCCCCCCAAAAAAAAGAAAGTGTATCTGATTTAAAGCACTTTGGAGGAGCCATATGAGCATATGAAGAGCTCTGCTGGATCAGACTGGGGGGGGGGGTTCCATCTCTTCTAGCATCCTGTTTGCACATATCCTACTGGGAGGCCCAACAGCAGAGCCCGGGGGCAGTTTATTTCAATCTCCTTTCTTCTCAAAAAAATGCTTCATCACATCACATCATCCAAAGCTCAGTAGGTCCTTGGGGAGTGATGGCGGGCGTTGTAGGATTCGGGCAGCTAAAAATGAGAAAGAAAGAAGAAAGAAAGAAAGAAAGAAAGAAAGAAAGAAAGAAAGAAAGAAAGAAAATGTGCCCATCTTAATAAACTCCTAAAACATACAGCACATCAGCATTCAGTAAACACACCCACACACACAACCAGATCTTGTATGAGATTGGAGAGGCTGTTAGGAGGTGGTCCTTTGTGCTAGATCCTGGAACTCCTGCCCTTCCACCTTTTTAAAAGTTTGATTTGATTTGATTAATTTGCTTATAGGAAGGATGAGTGCCCTACCTGACCTCTTCATTTCCCCAAGTCATTTATGCGTACGATTAGCAGCATATGAGAGCCAGTGTGGTGGTTAGCATGTCAGACAAGGACCTAGAAGATCAGGGTTTGAATCCCCGCTCGGATATGAAACGCACTGGGTAAACCTTGGGCAAGCCACTGCCTCTCAGCTTAGCCTACCTCATAGGGTTGTTGTTGTTCTTGTGATTAAATGAGGAGGGGGGGGCACCATGTATGCTGCCCTGGGCTTCTTGGGAGAGGGGCTATAAATGCAATAAGTAAATAAATAATATTCAAACGTTATGTAGGGTTGCCATACAGTGGTACCTTGGGTTACAGACACTTCAGGTTACATATGCTTCAGGTTACAGACTCTGCTAACCCAGAAATAGTACCTCGGGTTAAGAACTTTATTTCAGGGTGAGAACAGAAATCGTGCGGCGGCGGCAGGAGGCCCCATTAGCTAAAATGGTACCTCAGGTTAAGAACAGTTGTTTCAGGTTAAGAACGGACCTCCAGAACAAATTAAGTTCTTAACCCGAGTTACCACTGTATTTCAAAAAGTGAAAATCTGGACACAATTCCCCCCCACAAAATTGTTGAACTTTTTTTTGGGGGGGGGGAGTTTGGCGCTATTTTTAAGCAATATTGGCAAAAACGACACTGCCGATATGGCTTGCCATACGTCCGGATTTTCCCTGACATGTTTTTCCAGCGGGGGCGATTTCCACCCGGACACTTCTTCTGACTGCAAACTGCAGTATTCTGGGTATATCCAGGAAATTCTGGACTTATGGCAACCCTAATGTTACGCAAAGCCATGGGCTCGTACTAAAAGCCCTTTAAGTACCTCACAGCATCCCTTCTATATAATGCCCCAAAATGTACCAGACTTGAGCTTTCTCTCATTTCCAACCCCCCACCCCCATGTGAATGCTATATTAAGGCAGGAAAGAATTTGCAGCCGCTGTAGGTTCTATATTCGTCTTGGGAGCCAATTTAAAGTAAAACTGATTTAAGTCCCAGGTAATAAGGCAATCAGTCATAAATACCTACTTAAACAGCACCTCTTTCTTTCCTTTCCTTTTTTCCTTTGAGTAATTTTTTTTAAGTCACTATAAATACGAGTGTTGTTGTTTTTAAGCGCACACAAGCATCACTGCAAAAGCACACTTCTCTTTGCCAACAACACCGACAGGATTAAGAAACCCAGAAGTTAGAATGTTTAGTTGCAGAAGAATCTTGTTCCGTGTACATGCTGAACGCAAGCCATTTCTGGTGGAGGCTGCTTTTGGTTTGACGAAACTGCCAGACGGATGTATTTTGGTTAGTTAATTATTTTATTTATTATTTTATCTTCTGTCAGGAAACCCAAAGGAGTGTGGTTCCCAGGCAGTCCCCCATCCAGGCACTATCCATGCCCAACCCTGCTTAGCTTCAGTAGGTGGGTGGGTCTTCAGACCATATACCCCAGTATGAGTCTTCCCACCCACTCACTGAATAGCCAGTCAGGGTGCTCCAGGCAGCCTGTTTGTTGAGCATTCATCCTGATTTGTTTGCAGAAAGATTAGACAATGATGCCTACATTGAGTATTCATGTTGGTTTGCTAGCAGGGGTGTTAGACGATGTTGCATCAAAGCAAGCACAACCTCACTTTTTCCAGTACGTTTTCCCTCCGCATTTCTTAACACAAAAAGTCCAATCTTTTGGGGGGAGTTGGTTTGTTGACACAAGACCTCCCGAATGACTTATTGCAGACCTGAATTTGTTGGGTGTGCGACTGAATCCCACCTGAAAAGTTTGAAAGCCCCTTCCATCTCAGAACCATGGATATACCATGAATGGGGGGGCGGGGTCATTCAAAGCTTACCTATATATTTTTCATGCTGCTTTTGAAAAATAAGCTCATATGCCAGGGGTCAGCAAACTTTTTCTGCAGGGGGCCGGTCCACTGTCCCTCAGACCTTGTAAGGGGCTGGACTATATTTTTGGGGGGGAGGGAAAATGAATGAATTCCTATGCCCCACAAATAACCCAGAGATGCATAAAATAAAAAGCAATAAAAGCACACGTTCTACTCATGTAAAAACACCAGGCTGGCCCCACAAATAACCCAGAGATGCATTTTAAATAAAAGCATTATAAAAACACGCTGATTCCCGGACTGTCCGTGGGCCAGATTTAGAAGGCGATTGGGCCGGATTCGATCCCTGGGCCTTAGTTTGCCTACCCATGTCATACGCCATCAGTACCTGACACAAGAAGTTATTGTGAAAATATTGAACAAAGTCTAGGATGGATAAATGGATGGTGAGCGATGATTTGTATTTCTTTAGCCATCCTCTGCCATTACATACTGATTACTCATCACACCCATCATAGACATTTTGTGGCACCCAAGCTATCACATCCTTTCCAATATTTGTTTAAAGGTGTTCTGTGCATTTCATAATGCCTTGCCATGGTACCATTGTTGGTAATAATAATGATAATAATAATTTATTACTTATACCCCACCCATCTGGTTTCCCCAGCCACTCTGGGTGGCCTCCAACAAAATATTAAAAATACAATAAAGCATCAAACTTTAAAAACTTCCCTAAACACGGCTGCCTTCAGATGTCTTCTAAAAGTCAGATAGTTGTTTATTTCCTTGGCATCTGGTGGGAGGGTGTTCCACAGGGTGGGTGCCACTACCGAGAAGGCCCTCTGCTTGGTTCCCTGTAAATTCGCTTCTTGCAGTGAGGGAACTGCCAGAAGGCCCTCGGAGCTGGACCTCTGTGTCCGGGCTGCATGATGGGGGTGGAGATGCTCCTTCAGGTATACTGGGCCAAGGCCATTTATGGCTTTCAAGGTCAGCACCAACACTTTGAATTGTGCTTGGAAACATACTGGGAGCCAATGTAGGTCTTTCAGGACCAGTGTTATATGGTCTCGGCGGCCACTCTCAGTCACCAGTCAACTGCCGCATTCTGGATTAGTTGTAGTTTCCTGATCACCTTCAAAGGTAGCCCCACGTAGAACGCAATGAAAGACCACTTTCATTGTTTAGGGCACTGAGGGTTGTGTTCAACTCTGTCATATTTAAGAGTGGACCTATTGAAATCAGCAGACTTGAAATAGTTGAGCCTGTTAAGTTCAACGGATCTGCTCTTCAGTATGTCTTAGTCTGATGCATCAAATAGTCGAAAAGGTGGGTTTGGTATCAACGGAGCTGGTGGCTACGGAATATTTCCCCCCTTATTTTTTAAGATTTATTTAAAATACAAAGTGGGGTGTGTGTAGAATGATACAAGAGGCATGAGGCACAGATGGCATTAAACCAGCACCTTTATGAAATACAGTTATTGCAACAACTAAAGCAAATTTCACAGAAGAATGTGCATGTCCCCAAGGCCAGAGCTCATGCCCTGCATGCAACATCGTCTTTCTCCTCAGCCATAAATAACTATCCTCAATTAACCTGGGGTACTTCTTCATGAGTCCTGCTTTATATTATTGTCAAGGGAGTGTTAATGCTCCAGACCGAGCATTAAAAAAAAAAAATTAAAACTCTCATAATTCTATGTTATAAATTCCGACAAGCACCTACAATTCTGATATTTCTTTGTCATTGAAATATTTTTTTAATGGATTACCTTAAAACACCCCAAAGCGATTTGACAATAAAGAGGACCACAGCGATTAAACTTGCGTGAAAACAGTTTTGAGTCCAATACTCAAACTGGGATAAACATCTCCACTTGAAAGGCTTGTCAGAGAAGGACCGTCTTTGAAAGGCGCCAAAAGGACAACAGGAGATGGTGTCTGCCTGATTTGTAACTGGAGGCAGTTCCAATTTCACTTCCCCCCTTGGTTTTCCCTAAGGCCCATGACACATACAAAAACATTGCCGTTGTTCCATGTTCTGCAGCAAGTAAAAATGAATGGAGGATGTGCGAACGTCTTGTGTGCTCCAGCACATTGGTAGAGCACATACTTTGCATGTGTGAAGCTCCCAGATTCATGATGAGTAAAGAGCATTGCGTGGCGAGGCTCTGGGCCCCGCAGTTCCCTTAGACAATTAACACAAGGACACAAATATTTAGGTCAGGCATAGGCAAACTTGGCCCTCCAGATGTTTTGGGACTACAACTCCCGTCATCCCTAGCTAACAGGACCAGTGGTCAGGGATGATGTGAGTTGTAGTCCCAAAACATCTGGAGGGCCGAGTTTGCCTATGCCTGTAAAGTTTAGGTTAATGGGATAAACTAGGCCACAAATTTACTGGTTACAGATGTGAGCAGTTTGGCTTAGGCATTGGGTGAAACTGGACTATATCCTGACTCCTGCCCATCTGCAAGGAGTCTCATAAGGGTAAACCACCGGTAGGGAGAGCCCTATGATATACATCAAATCGGGGCACCCCCAGGGTACCTGATGGGGTCATGCTAAGGCCCTAGCCCATGCCCAGGCTTTGGACAGGAACCATGCCCCCTGGATACCCTTAACGAGGAGGGGCAGGCAGAGGCAACAACCTCCCCTCCCATAAACAAGGTTTACAAAGTAGGTGAAAACCAAATGGCTGGTGCCAGTTTGCCAAGTGGAAAAAATTCCTACCTGGCCCCAACAATATGGCGGCCGACCTTAGTCCATAGCAAGGCCACTGTCAAGCAACGCATGAAAAGAGGGCAGGTGGGCTGGGAGATCCAGCGAGGAGGCGAAAGGAGGTCACCCCCCAGCCGTGCCGCTGTTTAAATGGCTAGCGGCCATGCCCCCCAGCTACTGCAATTGGTCAGCCGGTGGGGTGATGAGGCCAGGGGTCCCTATGATGCAGGTGGCATCCCTCCACCCACAGCTGGGTCACTGGGAGGTCCTGGTTCCCCTCAATGCCACCCCCCGGGAAGGGGAGTGGACTTGCAGAACAATCTCCTGGTTAGCTTTTCCGGGACTAGTGGAGATACGCCGCTGCCAATTGTTTAACAATGGTTTGGAGCCAATTTCAGACTATGGGTTAAATGTGACCAGGAGCCCTAGTTAGCCATAACCATCGTTAATATTGCTGTTAAGGCCATCAGGGAGGGGTGCGTGAAGGGGAAACAGGAATTGATCCTGCATCTTGCTGTCAACTGCATTAAGAAATTGGCAAGGTTAGATCTACGCTGGCCTAAACGTGGAGCAAAATGAATTCTTCTACAATGCAGTTGACAGCTCGTAAGCCCATTACTCTTACAGCACGTAACCGAACAATTCCACGGGGAGTGATTGTTACTGGTTAAATATACTGTGGCAACAACAGCAGAAAAAACAAACTTCCTTTACCGCCTTATTCGAAAGAAAAATATTGATGTTGTTGAGGGCCGTGCCTTGTTTATCAAGTCTGTGCTATGTGAACACTGAATAAACACGATGTCAACTCTTTGCAGGAAGAAAACGAAATCCCGGCCAGCGTGTTTGTGAAAGAGCCTGTTCCCAGTATTACTGACGGGAAGGAAGAGCCTGTTGATGAGAACAAAACTTTGGAGGAAACCTTGCACACTGTAGAGCTTTCCTCAGAGGATGAAGCACCCCATGATGAAGAGGGGGCAGACGATAGCATGGATGAAAAAATCGGGGAGACGAGAGCTGAGAAAATCAAGAGGTCCAGCCTCAAGAAGGTGGATAGCCTGAAGAAAGCGTTTTCCCGCCAAAATATCGAGAAGAAGATGAACAAGTTCAGCACCAAGATCGTCTCTCATGAGAGGAGGGAGAAGATTAAGAAGTCTCTCACCCCTAACCACCAAAAGTCCTCCTCATCAAAAAGCTCATCTTTCAAGGTCTCTCCCCTCACGTTCAACGTGAAGAAAGTTCGGGATGGAGATCCCTCTGCAGAAACGGAAGACAAGCCGGCAGAGGCTACCGGCAGTGAGCACACTGCAAACGATGAGGAGACATCCTTCACCGAGATTCACTCCGACCTGGCCTCTCCCAGTTCTCTGGCGGAGGAAGGGAAAGCCTTTGCTGACTCCCTGGAAAGAGAAAATGGGAGTGAAGGAGATGCTGTGGTCAACAACAACATCGAGCTCGCCATCGTTGAAGAAGGAGATGACTATAGGGCTTCGCTCGAAATCAGGCAGGAACTCTACGATGAAAGGAGCAAACCGACCAGTGGGGAAATGGAGCACTCTGATGAAGAATCAAGCCAGGCTGCTGTCCTCCACGTCAACCAAACTGCATAAATCGTCTGAGCCGCCTTTTATGTTTCTATGCGCATTTTTTTTGTAGTTACATCAGTAAAACAGGGCTGTTACACAATAAACAAGGAGCAACAGTAACCTAAGGTGGAGTGGTTCTTTTTTGGACAGTTAGGTTTCCACAAAAGGCTAATTTCATACACTTAGACGGGAAATGAGGTAATTTAAAGGCAACTGCTGCATTTTGAAGTCCATTCCAACCTCTCTTGCACACATCTATTGGTTATCGATTTCAAATTGCTGCAATCAATTGCAGGTGGAGATGTACTTAAATGAACCGGTTTAAAAGCAGCACTACCCTACAAATTGAATCAGGCTAATATCTGTTTCACTTCCACCCAAAGAATCTGGGAATTGTAGTTCAGTGAGGGTGCTGAGAAGTGTCAGAGATTTTTCCCCTAAGGAAACTTCTACTCCCAGGACAAAAAAAGGGGAGGCTATTAAACCTTTTGTTTGGGGGGGGGGGTCTTCCATGTAGGCACAATTTTCGTTGGTGAAAAGCTCTCCTAAGTGCTAAGTTCATTCAAATGCATTCCCCAGTATTTTTTCCTAGCCGTGCGCTGCTTGGGGAAAGCGAGTTTACACTGCAGAGGACGAGAGCTGCCTTCCACTTTGCTTGCTGTGCCCTTTTGTCCACAGAACTGCTGACTGGGAGAGTGTGCTTGTATTGCCTTCTTTGTGAGTTAATGAAGTGTGTGTTTGTGTGTGTGTGTCCCCGCTCGCTGTTTTTAAGCTGCGAACTGTGGGTGGTAAGCTGTGGGGAAGGGCTCTCGCTCTGTGACAGAGAGCACATGTTCTCCGGGTTCAATCCTGTCTGAAACCCTGGAGAGCCACTAGCGGTCAATGTAGGCACACACATAGCACACATACAAGGAGACACACAGTCCCACGGCCTCCCCTCTTCAGCTGATCTTATTGCTCCCTCTCTGCTCATCTGATGGCCGCTCTGATGACCAGGTAGGAGGCAATTCGTTTCCTCATCAGGGTGCTGGGCTCCTCCAGTGTGGTGTAGTGGTTCAGAGCGGTGGGCTCGTAATCTGGTGAACCGGGTTCGCTTCCCCGCTCCTCCACATGCAGCTGCTGGGTGACCTTGGGCTAGTCACATTTCTCTGAAGTGTCTCAGCCTCACTCACCTCACAGAGTGTTTGTTGTGGGGGAGGAAGGGAAAGGAGATTGTTAGCAGCTTTGAGACTCCTTAGGGTAGTGATAAATCAGGATATCAAATCCAAACTCCTCCTCCTCCTCCTCCTCCAACCCCAGCACTTTTTAATTTTCTTTTGGCTAATGCCACAACCCAAACTAGTAGGGTTTTGGAAGGTGGCAGAATCAGGTTCCATTATTTAGGGATTGCCCCTGATGCTAGCAATACTGAAGAGTTGGACCAGCGGTCTGATTCTGTATAAAGCCGTTTCCTCTGTGTGTTTTTCCTCCCTATAGTAGTGTTTGTGCAGTTTCCACCTATTTCCCCTCCCTATAAAGTACTTCAGTTTGTTTCCTCATGTTAATATTTGATGCGACTGAGCTACCAGGATGCAACACATTTTTATTTTTATTTTGTGTTGACCTTGTACAAGTTGAGGTGGTTTTTTAAAAAAAGGATTCCCATGTGGTGGTTTTGCCACATCGAAAAGTAATATGGGAAATAGGCATTTCAGGGTGTTGAGGAACTTTGGGTTCCCTTCCAACTCTACGATTCTATGAGAATTGAATCTTTGCTGCTTTACTGTTAGTAACTACTGAGACAGAATAGTTGGGCTGTTAACATGATCAACGCCATAATTGTCTTTGAGTTCATTACTCTTGAGAATTTCATTTGATCCGCCCCTGTTCTGCTCAGGGGAGAAAAAATATCTAGCATTCCTACAGCAACAGTGCAAGTCTTGACGTGTCTACTCAGAAGTAAGTCCCATTGAGTTCAGTAGCGCTTAAGCAGGTATAGCATTGCAGCCCTGGTATATTAGTTGAATGTAATGGCAGATGATGTAATAAGCATATATTCCATGGATCTCCCCCTCTATGGAAAATGGTGTCTTGGCCTGGTGAGATGACACATTTTTTGCACATAAACCCATGGACATCTGCAAGATACATGTCTTACCTGAAGGGACGGGTGGGGAACCCCTTTTCAGCTACCTTCCATATGCAAAAGTGAGTGGAGCAAAAAAAAAATATTTAAATTTTATCTCAGTACACATACTCACCCTCTCAGCCCATCATCCAGACCAGCATGATGGAATGAGATCAAGGCCTCATTCCGTTCAGGCCAAAAGCACTTGAGAGGGTGCAGAGGAGAACCAGTGAGGGGTGTGTCCTGGCAGGAGGTTCCCTTAAACCTTAGGCAGACCGCACTGGTCGGTTTAGGATGAAGCACCCTGTGTAAAGTACAGTGGGAATAAGATCTTGCTCTTGTATATTTTGACTCCTTAGGATTATTTAGACAGGGGGGAGGGATGCTGTTCCTGGGCACACCTATCTGTTGGGGAAGTTGTACTCCTTTGTATTTTGTTCACGTTCCACAGGAGAGCTACCACATGTTGGACCAGGCGATATTTAAGAGGTGAGGCATGATCATGAAAACAAACTGGTTTTATGTGTAAGCTTAGCAATGTCTACATATGTTCCCTAGTTAATTTGACTTCCTTTGTTCCAAGTATGCTGATTCAGTAACGAATGTATATACGCATATATATATATATTATTATTATTATTTTGTTCTATGTTAAGAGAGAACTGTTGTTATTATTAAAAGATGCTATTTGCTTAATGCAATCTACTACGTCGAAATGGCAAAAGGGAGAGGTAGGACTGTAATCGTGGAAATAGATAATGAAACAGATTCATATATATATATATGGACCCAACTACTGTATCGCTGAGTGCAATGTGAGGGACAGATCGCCATGTTGCAATATAATCTGATAAAAAGAAAGAGAGCACATGATGGGGGGAAATGGAGGCTAGTCAGATACAAACTAGACTTATGAAGAACACACTTAAGTAGTACACATGAACCATTCTGGAAATATATATATTTTCATTCTACACCTGCACCAGATGACAAGCAAGGGTATTTTGAAAACTTCGCCAATATATTATTTTTTTTATGTGTGTGTGTGTACAGGAGATGGCCACATTCCAGCCCAAAATGACATGTACCTTAACCCCCTTGATTTTCGTGGGACTTGCGTATGCGTAGCTGCATTGGCCATCGTCCAAAATATGCAGATTGTTGGAAAACATGGGGAAATGATGACCTCCACACATGTGGCAAATGTCCAACAGGATGGACTAACCCCAGTGAATGCTGATAAGGGCCATTAAGTAGCAGTCTAGTGAATTTAGACCATCTTCATATTTTTGGACGTGAGCCAAATGCATGAGGGATTGTCAACACGCCCTTGCCATTTTTGAAAGTTCCTAGATTTTGAACGTTCACTGTGATGTGTAAGATTTGTCTTCAGATGGAAATATATGATTCTTTAAAAGTGGGTGGAATGTTTTCTTTTTCCGCGGGTGATGTCAAAAGATGTTACATTTTGTTGCGTGTGTTGTTTTGTGTATTGTGTGAAATGAGATATAAATGGCAATGAACACGACCCACCAGGGAATTTTCTCTGTTCAGGCTCAATGTTAATACCGTTGTGGAGATACATCTGCAATCTTTTGCATCTTGAAGTATGCACTGGACTTCACAATGATACCGCGTTTGAATTTCCTGCAAACGTTACGCTTTTCAACCAAAATCTGGACATCTTCAGAAACGAAACTGCATTCCTCTTGCACCTTATTTTCAAATCCTCCATTCCACTTTACAATCACAAACGTAAACTAGCAGTCAACCTACTAGTGCCTGACAATTGTATTTTGTTTTATATGCAATCTTCCCCCTTCCCCTTTTAATACTGATAAGTCTGCTTTTACATAATATTGCACTAAAGCATTGCGCTTTTTTTGGAAAGATATTATTTAGAAATACAAATTAAAGAAGTCTAAGAAAATCTATTGATGGCAGTGAGCTATTCCATGTGGGGAGCTTCGCGCAATCATTTTAAGTGTCACTGGATGTTTGATCAGAGTTGATTTTTTGAGCAGGGCTAGAGATGGTTAAACTTTTTTTAAAAAAAATCAATATTACGAGAGAGTTGCAATCAGTAGATATAACTGTGATATTATCCACACAGATTCATCTTATTTTGAATTAACAACAATGCCTGTTACTAACCACAGTTGTGATTAAGTAAATAAAAATCAAGTTGCATTAAATTACACTTGTCTGGACAAAATTATTGTAGAGATGGGCAAACAAATCTTTTGATATGTAATTCGTGGAGCCAAATTAGCATGATTTTAAGTGGTGTCATTGGGGGATTTCCTCCCAATACAAATAGCACCTTCAGATGAAGGATTTCCCCCAAAATCACAGCAAACAAAGGAGTTACATTCCATCTCCATGTCCTTTGTGATTACTGGTAGCAATCTCCCTCCTTATACTGTTTGTGTTTAAATAATAATAATAATACAAAAATCCCCAGCCCTTTAAATACTAAGAGGCAACAAACATTTGCTTGACTCTTAGTCCAGTAAAGGAGATTCATGCAGAGAAAAAGTCTTCTCCATTAGAAAAAAAAGGTAAAGGACCCCTGGACAATTAAATCCAGTCAAAGGCGACTATGGGGTTGCGGCGCTCATCTCGCTTTCAGGCCGAGGGAGCCGGCGTTTGTCCGCAGGCAGCTTTCCGGGTCATGTGGCCAGCATGACTAAACCGCTTCTGGCAGAACAGAACACCTTGACAAGTGCCAGAGTGCACGGAAATGCTGTATACCTTCCAGCCTCAGCGGTACCTATTTATCTACTTGCACTGGTGTGCTTTCGGACTGCTAGGTTGGCAGGAGCTGGGACAGAGCAACGGAAGCTCACCCCGTCGCAGGGATTCAAACCGTCCACCTTCTGATCGGCAAACCCAAGAGGCTCAGTGGTTTAGACCACAGCGCCACTCGTGTCCCAGTCTTCTCCATACACAGCTGCACACATGCATATTTAGGAGTGCCTCTCCATAATGGTTGCAGCAGCTCGCTTGATTCACCAGCTTGGATGGGCCTTTTGAGGCTGGTGGAGATGCAGATTCCCCCATCTGCTTGGGGACTGAAGAGCTAACTACAAGCTCAGGATGGATAGCTCAGTTGGTTGGTGCGCAGTGCTGATGACACCAAAGTTGCAGGTTCGATCCCTGTATAGGCCAGCTGGATGAGATGAACCTCAGGGTCACTTCCAACTCTATGAACATGAAACTGGTACTATGAAAGTTTTAATGGCCAAATGCATGTAATGGGAATCCAAGACTTCTTATTCTTCCCATCAGATGTCAAAGAGATAAACAACTACCTGACATTTAGAAGACATCTGAAGGGAAGTTTTTAATGTGTGACATTTTAATGTATTTTTAATCTTTGTTGGAAGCCGCCCAGAGTGGCTGGGGAAGCCCAGCCAGATGGGCGGGGTACAAATAAATTATTATCATTATCATTATCATTATCATTATCATTATTATTATTATTATTATTATTATTATGGAGGGAGGATTTTGAGCAGAGAAGTGGCTAGAAGATTTACCCTTTCAGCACCTGCTGACTCTGCCCAGTGGCTTTCCCCACTGTTACGTTCAAAATGCATGTTTTCATCCTATGGCAAAAGGCAAAGGGACCCTTGACCATTAGGTCCAGTCGTGACCAACTCTGTGGTTGCGGCGCTCATCTCGCTTTATTGGCCGAGGCAGCCGGCGTACAGATGTGGCCAGCATGACTAAGCTGCTTCTGGCGAACCAGAGCAGCACACGGAAAAGCCGTTTACCTTCCCGCCGGAGCGGTACCTATTTATCTACTTGCACTTTGACGTGCTTTCAAACTGCTACGTTGGCAGGAGCAGGGACCGAGCAATGGGAGCTCACCCCATCGCGGGGATTCGAACCGCCGACCTTCTGATCGGCAAGTCCTAGCCTCTGTGGTTTAATCCACAGCGCCACCCGTGTCCCGATCATTCTATGGGGAATAAGCCAAAAAAGAAAATAAGCCAACAGGCAAGTAGGAAAAGGGTGAAGCACTCCTTCCCGCTGCTTCGCTGTTCAAAATCCTCTCTCATGTCCTTTTTTGAAGGAACAAAATGCCCACGCAAGGAAGGATGGAAGGATCTGGCAATATCGGTTCTCTTAGTTTCACATTTGTTTCACATTTTTCAATCTTATTTCAGTTCTCCACCCTTCAGCAACAATTTGCAAATAATAATTAAAAAATCCTCCTAAAAATTCATCAGGGTTTTCATGCCATTTTCTCCCAAAGAACACATTTTTGTATGCAGTTTTTACTCATGTACAAGCAATTTTCCCTAGTAGAATGCATTTGTTTTTTTCAACAGTATCTTCATTTTTAGGCACACTTTCCCACAAGATATGCATGTTTGTAAATATCAGTTGGAGAACTACATTGCAAAATTCAGATAAGTGCACATTTTGAAGGGTGCTTTGCATTTTGGTTTGCTAAAGTGCAAATCTGACAGATTTGCCTTTAAATGAGAACCAAATTGAATCCCGCCCCCCTTCCTTACACAACAGCTATTGTAGTATAGTTGGTTGGCAGTGATGTTGTGTGGGTCACACGGAGGGAGGGAAACGGATGGAAAACACATGCGCGTTCAACTGCCTAAAAGCGGCCACATCACCCAGGAGATCTTGGCCACAGAGATAAGAAAAGAAGAGTCAGTCTGTTGTCTGGAGAGGTCACTTCCTGGTTCGCATGGAGAAGCTGTTTTCAATGGATCCCGGCAACTCAAGCACACGGTTGTACTGAGGCAGCACCGGGTGTCGAAATTTTCTGCCGCTAACAATTTTGCACCCGGGGCAACTGCCCCTGTGGTCCCCTCACACATGACGCCACGGAGGGTTGGTGTCAGACTAGGGCCAAGGAGACCCAGGTTCAAATCCCCAGTCACCCAGATAACTCTGAACTAGTCTCTATCTCTCCTCCTAACCTACCTCAGAGTTTTACTGTGTATACAAGGGTGCGTGGGACCTATACATGCCACCTTGAGCTCCTTGTTCAAAAAGAAATGTCATGGCTCAATGGTGCATCCACCCACAGCTTCAATCCTACAGTCCATTTGCCTCTATTCCAGACCTCTCCAAGTGTCCCTATTTTCCAGGGACAGTCCCGGATTTACAGAAGCCACCCTGGTTTCTGATGTGATTCTTGAACATCCCACTTTCCCTTAGGACATCTCTAGTTTCATCAGAGAAATGTTGGAAGGTATGGAGTTATGCGACCCACGAGCCAAGGAGATCAATAAATATTTGTTGTTGTTGTTGTTTAGTGTCCGACTCTTCGTGACCCCATGGACCAGAGCACGCCAGGCACTCCTGTCTTCCAGTGCCTCCTGCAGTTTGGTCAAACTCATGCTGGTAGCTTCGAGAACACTGTCCAACCATCGTGTCCTCTGTCGTCCCCTTCTCCTTGTGCCCTCCATCTTTCCCAACATCAGGGTCTTTTCCAGGGAGTCTTCTCTTCTCATGAGGTGGCCAAAGTATTGGAGCCTCAGCTTCAGGATCTGTCCTTCCAGTGAGCACTCAGGGCTGATTTCCTTCAGAATGGATAGGTTTGATCTTCTTGCAGTCCATGGGACTCTCAAGAGTCTCCTCCAGCACCATAATGTTTTATTATGTTTTTATATATGTTGGGAGCTGCCCAGAGTGGCTGGGGCAACCCTGTCAGAAGGGCAGGATATTATTATTATTATTATTATTATTATTATTATTATTATTATTTAGGACGTCCCCATTTTCATCGGAGAATTGTTGGAGGGTATGCTATTCCCTTTCGTCTTATTCCTCCCAGATATCAGAGTACCATGTTTCGAAAGGAGCTGCACCTCGCCAGCCCCAATGCATTTGACGGATCTGTCTGCACTTGCTATTGTATCGTACAAGACTTTTTAATAGGGTAGCTTTTTAAAGAGCTCCGCCAGCAGAAACATATTGAAGTGGATGCTCTGTTTATTCAGACAGAGACACTTGTGTCATGCACAGAGCTGCATAGCCATTAGAAGACTTAATTTTACTGACAGGCCAAAGCATGTATGTTTAACCTTCATGGGATAGCTGTCAACTTCCAGCAGCCCTTTAGCACTTGCGAGGGAATCGAACATCATGTTTGCATTTCACTCTCAGCTATTCCTGCATTGTTTATGTTCCTGGTAGCTTTAAGTCAAACAACGGTACTACAGGAGAGAAAAGGGAGTCCTCAGGCCTATTTTATCAGGCTTTTGTCAACTCTTGAATGAAACACACTCTGCACGTCTCAAGGATGTGAAATCTCCCAGACTCTCCAAGAGTCCCTATTTTCCAGGGACAGTCCCGGATTTACAGAAGCCATCCCAGTTTCTGATTTGATCCCAGAATGCCCCACTTTTCCTTAGGACATCCCTATTTTCAATGGAGAAATGTTGGAGGGTATGGAGTTATGTGACCCGTGAGCCAAAGAGATAAGTAACTATACAGCCTTTATAAGGCATCTGAAAGCAGCCCTGTATTGGGAAGTTATTTAATGTTTATTATGTTTTTATATATGTTGGAAGCCACCCAGAGTGGCTGGGACAACAGAGTCAGATGGGTAAGGTATAAATAATAAAATTAGTCGTAGTATTGAATAAAGGTAAAGGGTAAAGGGACCCCTGACCATTAGGTCCAGTCGCAGACGACTCTGGGGTTGCGGCGCTCATCTCACTTTATTGGCTGAGGGAGCCGGCGTTCAGCTTCCAGGTCATGTGGCCAGCATAACTAAGCCGCTTCTGGAGAACCAGAGCAGCGCACGGAAATGCCATTTACCTTCCCGCCGGAGCAGTACCTATTTATCTACTTGCACTTTGACGTGCTTTCGAACTGCTAGGTTGGCAGGAGCAGGGACCGAGCAATGGGAGCTCACCCCTTCGCAGGGATTCAAACCGCCGACCTTCTGATCGGCATGTCCTAGGCTCTGTGGTTTAACCCACAGCGCCAGGATGTTCCTATTTTCCTTGGCAAAATGTTGGAGGGCATGTACAGAGCAGGGTGTACACCGCCTCGCTCAGGTAAAACATAAGAGAGGTTGCTTTGCCACAGAGCACATGAGAATTGCAGCCCATCAGAGAGGCCTAGCTGAGGTGGTAAACCCGTGTCTGAATACTACCACTTCAGCCTGCAATTGGATGCTCACGTTTCTTAATTCTCCATGCAAATAGATA